TTTCACAGTCTATAGAAGACTGATGAAAATGATCAAACCCATGAAAATTTGACTCATTGAAATTTCGAGGAATTTTGCAGAACAACTCCCTGCGAGAAATTGGAAAAGCGCATGCGGTTGCACGCATTTTCAAATGAACAATTGAAACCCCGAAAGCGTTTTGCGAATATTATCGGTTTATCAAACTAGCATGCGAAAAGTACATATAGTAACTCTGGCAAAGCAAAAATTGTGCACGCCCCTGTGGCAGGAAAGGCGGGAGCAAAACTCGACTAGCATTGGTTGAAAGTTGCGGTTTCCGAGGAAACGCTTATCACAACGCGCACTTCCACACCGGCTGGTTGGTGGGCACCTAGGCGTAACTCAGTGGCGGGTTYATACGCATCGAACTGCCCACATTGCCCAAAGCTCCGCTGCGAGTCCTGACMCAGTTGGAAACCCAGTCGTTTCTGCCATTTATGAGCAATTTTCTGGTCACCTCGAACACGCGCTCCTTTACCTCTGGCACCGTGTCCAGGATTTGCATGAGGGCAAAGTGGCTCAACTTGAAGATCTTGCATGGCGCCACTGCTGTCATGGTGACATAGTGGAACTGATTCAGTATCACCGAAATGTCACCGTAGTACGAGCTGTCTTCCAGATGACAGACCTGTCAAGAACGCAACAGCAGAAAGAGATGGTGCTAGTGTGGGTTGACCGTGACATTTACCTCAATGTTATTTTCGTCGTGTAGAGCGACCGTGCCGCTCCTGATAAAGTACAAACACCTAGCTGGGGCATTTACGCGAAAAATCACATCGCCTGGGCAGTAGTAGCACGGATCCATATTGGAGAGTATCTGCATGATCATGGGGTTGGGCAATTGGCGGATGAATTTGATTTTTTCGATTTTTTTATCCAGCCGGTAGCTGGGAATTTCCTGGAACCCCGACAAGGCGTCCAGCAACGCCTGCGCATTATTGTCCGGATGGTTACCTTTCGTAGATTTTCGGTCAACATGTTTAAAATGGCCGACTCGTCGTAGAAGCGCTTTTGGAACCGAAACTCGTAGTAGCAGTAAATGTCCTCGCGAATGTTGGGCGGAAGTCCCTTGTACTTGAGGTATCCGGCGAGCTGCTGATAGTGATCTTGCCCCACCTCGGAGAGAATGAGGAACCTTTGCCACAACACGTACAACTTGGCTGGAAACACCAAAATTAGCCCAAAAACCAGCTCCACTCGGGAACTAGGCGATGGCTTGCCCATAATCCATATCTGCATCACGTACGATATCATGGTGATCAACATAGCGGTCAAAACTTCTGTATAGCTGTAGACGATTTTCACCTGACCGACGCCAAATAACGAGCGAATTGTGGCAAATATGGCCTCGTGTGCCAGCGCTGTGTCTTTGTTTTCCTGGAAAACCGTCATTAATCGGGGGATCATTGCTATGATGAACAGCAAATAACCGTTATATGGTCGAATAAGTAGGGGTACTGGCTGGTAAACGCCATCAGCGCCATGCAGCATAAAACAATCGAGTAGGACCAGAGCAGTATTTCGATGGACACATAGAGCTCCACTGGTACTCTACAGTGCTGCAAGGCAAAAAATTCGATGCCGACTATGCGGGTATTCAAAGCTTGCACACCAACCGCCCTAAACATATCCAACGTTCGGTCTACGGTGAGGATGCGCGCCATCCGAGCCAGGCTCAGCCACTCGATCAACCCCCAGGAGCTCGAATGCGAGAAAAAGTAAATCCCAATGGTGTAGGATGGGATGCAGGACATGACGTCCCAAGCGAGAAACGTGCGAATATAGCGCCTGTATAACAAAAGCGAGTGTTTAGCCATTGGCCCATTGGAAGATCTCACCGCTAGTTGCCTGGCAATCGCCCTTGACTGCAGCACGATATTCATGTTGTCCTTGTCCCAATAGCCAATGGAAAAGTTGACGATCACGCTCACCGTCATGATGACGTCGAAAACGAACTTGATCCACTTCAGATGGGGGTAAAAAGACAGGTAGGCCATGTCGGAAGGGAGCACATAAATCAAGTACACGACCGTCAGCAACGCCATTAGAAATTCGTAGTACAAACTGAAGCAAACACCGGAACTGATCGCACCTGGACTCACACTCCGGCACGGAAACTCACCAGAACATGCTGAAAGGATGGATAATTCCCTGAAAGCGTAGCACGTGCCTCACTTCCTCATTACGGATCTCCGTCAGCGACTTGAACACCGTTTTAGTGTACGGATGGTGTCTGCTGATCATGAAGCTGCGTTCCAGCCATCGTCTGAACCCGATCAGAATGCCGGAATCGATGGTTTCTTTCACGATGTCGGTTTGCTTCATCATGTCGATCAATGAGCAGATGTGGGGCTTGCAGAACTCCCCCCATCGCGCCTGGATGAAGCTGAAGTAGGAGAGGAAGCGAAAGGAGGACTGGAAGGAGACTTGTTGCGACTTGTCCTTGGACCGTGTCGCATCGGAAGACTGTGACCATTTCGAGCTAATATCTGACATCTTTTGCCTTATTTTGACAAATTTGTCACAAATTTTATCGGTATCACACCTTAGCAAACGTTTTTCGCGTCATTTTGAAGGCGAAACATCAGTTCATTCAGTAATACTTTTTCGCTTTAAATTAGGAAACATTTCGTTGAATTTAATTCTTCTTAAC